GGACATACAGTGCTGCTTCTCCTCGTTTCCTCATGGAGACGTACAGTAATGAGGCACCTTGCTGAGGCAAGGATGCATCAAAAGTAGGGCTGCAGTAGTAGACGCTGCTGTTTTTGCTCGCCGCTTGTGTCGACGCAAAGGTGCTGCTTTCCATACTTGTGAAATTCACTTGACTTCAGAGCAGTGGTCCTGCTGAGCTTTGCTATGGTGTCAATGCTAACCTGATTTGGGTCTTTGGTTGCTGCTCTGCTGGCCCGCTGCTGAAAGATACTGCTCTCTCTCCTCCTGCATGGCGAATAGAAAAACTAACACAATCGGTGCGTTGGAGAGGAGGGTAAAGTGGTTGCACTTGGTGTCATCATCTGACAGTTTTATATCAAAGCCCAGGGCCAGACAAGAGGTCTCACTGAGGGGAGTCTTCAATTCAGACCTGGTATATAGTCTATTCTGTCTCAGTGAGAAACAGTACGTCTGTGTTAGTGTAACGGTTATATATGAATTCAGTTAAAATGGATCTGTCAAATTGCATTTTCTAATGCTGAGCTGCTTCTGACAGCGACATCCAGCAGCTCCTCCTGTGCAGCTTTAGTCGGGGGATGAAAAGGGAAGCCGGACTGAGCTGAAACAGTTTGAAACTAATGATAAATTAAGAACTGTTCTCCACAGGAAACGTATTTACGCTCACCCAAAATTCTTATCACACATTGCCCATTAGTGATAATTAATTTGGATTAATACAGGCTAGAGAATAATTTATCACCGCTTGCAGAATCACAACTTAATAAATGTATCAATTCAGATGACCTGAGTTTAACCTTTGCTCCCGCCTGGCTCTGCTGCAAATGCAGACGAATACATAAATTTGAAATGCAGGAGACGGGCTTGAATATTAAGCTCAAAAAGGCGAGATCCAATTTCACTCGGAAGTCTTGCCTCCAGTCTGGGTGGTTGTGTGGTATCGCAAATATAGGAGCAGAATTATTCCAAAAAAAACTGCAGATGCATTGTTGTAGTTTCAGTTTACAGTACTTTAAAATATTTTAGATGTAGGATCTTTAATTGGTATGAAAAAGTCCACACAGTCCCATATTTTAACAACTTTAGTAAGGTCTTAGTTTTTAATAGTTTTTAGGGATGTGTTCTTCAGTTTTTCTGAATACAGTTTTGTCACAATCTTTGAAATAAACTATTTAAATGATAACTTTTTTGATAACTAATTTTCCCATGTTTTGTGTTTATGTGACTATTTGGAAAAAACAGTATCTGAAACTGGTCCAGTATTGAGTGAGAGAGCTGCAGCTGTCAGTCATAAAACAGGCTGCAATGTAACCACTCTGGGCGTGTTTGCACCGTCACTTAACGTCCACTAAAAGTGTTTGTTTTTACCACTGACAGGCTCGGATTATTATTGTAACTATCTGACAGCATTATTGAAAGGATCCCTACAGAGATCGCTGTTTTTGTTTAAGAGTAAGATCCTTTTTCACCAAACACACCAGACTCCATTTAAATAAACAGTCATTTAAACATGTATAGAGGCAGCATGTTTTTACATCTAACTGGATGAATTTAGGGGTTTATTTCAACCAAACCAGAGTTGGTGATTGTTGGCACTGTGGGAAGACGAACCAAGACAATTTTGTGATTTCAAGATTGGCATAGATACAGTCAGTGACTAGTCACAGAGGGCGTGGTGACGGGGGAGTTAGGAAGGGGCAAAACACAAAGCACATGTTTTTAAGCTCACATATAGAGGCGCTAACAACTCACTTGTGGCTAAACAATCTAACATTGTTTGGATAAAGTGTGAGATCCTTTTTGTTTGACCAGAAACTGCCCTGAAAATGCCATCACCAAACCAGCCTCCATTTAAATAAGCAGTAATTTTAGCGTGTATAGAGGCAACATATTTTTACATTTAAGGGGGTGAATTAAGGGTTTGTTTCAACCAAACCAGAGGTGATGATCATTGGAACAAGAGAAATAGGGAACCAGGATGGTTTCTGTGAGTTTTATTTTGTTTCTGGCAACTCTGAATGAAGTGTGTTTTACAAAGATAAAATTACTGTTTATTTAAATGGAGTCTGGTGGGTTTGGTGATAGAAATTTTGAGACTGTTTCTGGCTGGACAAAAATAATCTTAATCTTAAACAAAAGGTCTATCTCTGTAAAGCTCCTTTCTATAATGTGGTCAGACACTTAGAATAATACTCTGAGCCTGTCAGTGGCAAAAACAAGAACCTGTAGTGGACATAGATTGAGGGTACACAGTTGCCTTCTCGCTCAATACTGGACCAGTTTAAAAAAATCGTTGTTCCCATTAGACACTTAGACACAAACACATGGGAAAATAGGACCAAGGTTGAAAAATGCTGAATTTAATGCCTTTAAGTTCTTGACTGAAATGATTAGAGCTGCAGTTTTGTGCCTTGACACACGACACAATAGATTTTGTATTTCCAAGGTATGAAGCTGGAGAAATCTTTCGTCTGTTTAATGTGGGTCTCCTTTCGGAATATGGAAATCTCATAATCATTAGTCATTCTGCACTCAGTCATAAACTAGATGGATTGGAGAGATCAAATTTCTTTTTCACAGCAGTCTGTTTTTATGTATTATTTCTACTGATAATGTCGTATTTATTCTTTAAATATACAAAAAAACCTTGATATGAGTTGATTAATGACAAAGAGTGGGAGAGGCAGAAAGAAAAGAGAGTACACAAGAGAGTGTGTGGGCAAAAAGTAAAAGCAAAACTAAACAGGAACTTTCTTAGTCCTGCATTTCATTATGGTTGCTTCTTAAATGAATCAAATGCAGATGAACCTCTCTGTGGAGCTGCTTGAATTCATGACTATTTTGGTCAGGATTGAGATCACGATTATTTAACATGATTACTCATTAACTTTGGAAACATCTTGAATTTATAGATCATCAAGAAAACTCATTATTAACAGTAGATTTTCTTGAACTTTGAGTAAAGTGCAACTGTGGGCAGATCATTGGCAGTAATTCTAACTGTAACAGTTAAGGCACTTAAATACTGGCACATTGTCAGTAAGAAAAACATAAAATAATGTCAGTAATGTAATGTAATGCTCCAGGAACACTGTAGTGGGGCTCCAGCACTTTGACCATAACCTTTAGTTCTGTTTTCTCTAGGACGTACAGTTTCTCCAAATGTGGTCGGATATCCGCAGCGATTAACACTCTGTAGCATCAGTTATTTCTTTGGCACAGTCTGAATCTGCAGAGGGAGGCTGCCTGAACGCTGCGGGGGAGAAGAACCCGACTTCCAGACTATATTTGTCTTGTTCCAGGTCCAGATTAATTCACAAAGTTGATAGAACCTTTGCAGTCAGAGCTCCAAGACTTTGGGATGACCTGCCCGAAGAGATCAGGGCCGCAAATTCTGTCTCGTCTTTTAAATCACTTCTTTTTAGAACTGTTTTTCTGTTATTTTACATAAGTTTTAGGACATTTTAATCCATCCTACCCTGTTTTTACTACATGCCTTGTGTTTGGCTCTTAGTCCATTTCATTCGCCAAGGTTCCCAACACATTTCCTTATTTTTGGCGGCCTGCCACAAATAGAAAATCTGCCACCGTGTTTTGATTTTCTATTTTTTGAGCTGGACCACTGATTAGTTGTGCTGTTGGAATATATTGCACCCATAGTGTATAAATGATGGACATAACTACCATGACATCACCCATTGGTTTGTGGACTCCCGTTTTGAAGCCTCGAGTTGGCAGTTTGGCTGTCACCATCTTGTTTTTTTTTGGAGTCATGACAGTTTGAAGTCATGAATGTTGAAATTTAACCACAGAGACCAAAACAGTTTCTTGTACCAGGCTGTAAACATGTTTATTTCTGCTATAAAGTTGGACACAAGTACACAAATCAGCTTCACTATAACTCGCAGCATTCACAGACAAACACTTGTCTTTATCTGGACACATTTTCCCCACAAATACAACATGCTAACATTATTAGCACAAGCCTATGGCATTTTACATTGTATAAATTAGCCTAGCAGCTAGCAGACTTTTCCTCTACTCATATGAAGCCAGGGACAACAGCAACATTTAACAAAGGTAACGTTACAAAATTCGTCTCAATTACAGCTCACAAGGTTCACTGACAAAACAACTGTCTTATACTAAACACATTTTCCAAACAAATACAACATGCTAACGTTATTAGCACAAGCCTATGTCATTTTGCATTGTATACAGTAGCCTAGCGACGAGCAGAGATTTCCTCTGCTCATATGAAGCCAGGATAAATCACACACAAGACTTAAAATGCTATTTTTGTGGAGGCTTTACTGTCTTCACAATTTATTGTTTCTTATCTGTGAAATAAAGTAAAAGAAGCAGAACCTACAACATAGGTACGGCGTCGATTCAAAGCAGAGGTATAAATCCTGCTTAAAGAAAGGGTTGCACTAGATTTATAACACAGGACAAAACTAGAGCATCACTGCAAAACAGAATGTGGCCCAATAATAGTTTAATCTTGATTATCTCGGTTTTATAATCCCTGGCAGAAAAAAGTTTGATTCACACAGCGTTACCTCTCTGCCTCTCTGTGCAGCACAGGTACAGCCTCACATAGATTCCATGCACTGCTGAATGCTGAAAGGTGGTGTTGACAAACTGGTTACCTTGAGTGCTGACGACCTGCTTTAGTTAAATATCAGTGTACTGTTGTTGGAGGTACAACAGGGAGGAATGAGGAGAAATCCAGGACAGACTAACCAAGTAACCACAACAGAAATAGCCCGTAGTACCAAGTACAATTATAAAAATGTTTCTCAGCCTTTTAGCTAATTTATATTTGTTCCACATGGCCCAGTAGCACACATTCTGTGGCCCAGTGTGTGTCCTCTGGCTGCAGGCTGCAAACCACTGACAGCACAGATGTTTATACATTTATTGGAGCCATGTTTGTGTGCGCTGACCTGTATGTGTAACTGTCTCCCTCGCTCACGCAGGAACACTAAACGCCCTCCTAAAACAGAAGGGCCAGACGACCTCCGAGGGTCCCGTGTGGTCGCTAAACGGTAACCAAGGTGACCGCTGGAAGCAGGCAAAAGTAAGCATCCATCCTACGGCATCCTTCCAGGTGAGACCGACAAACTTAATCAATCCGATACGCAGCAGCATTCCTCTTGTTGCCCTCTATTTTCTTCCCTGACTATGTTTGTATGCCGAAGTATTAGTTTCCTCGGGGGCGGCATATTGATGTAGCGCTTCACAAGCTGTGATATTAAGCAGAGAAGTGGACATTGTTTGCTACTGAGAAAGCAATATCACTCACGCTTTGCCATCAGGATGCATAATCTTTGCGAGTAGCGAATATAGAACTGCAATATTCTCCATCATTTTTACGACTGCAGTTGTGGAAAGTAATTATATTTTCAGCTGCACTTCTGTTTCTTTTTTTTTTGTTGTTGTTGTTCCCACTGTCACTTCTAAGTGCACCACGGGCTTTCTTCATTTTAAATTTTGTGACATTAAAAACTGGAACAACAGCCACCTGCTGTTATATTTCATAAGGCGCCATTTAGCTAAATTACACTGTGTACTTGCTTTTAGATTTTATCTTACGGCAGTGCTAATTTTCTTGTTTTTGTGGTCGATCCAGAACATATAATATGACAAACATGTTTATCTCTCCGCAGGTGGTACTCGAGGGTATCCGGGGACCGGGCATCGAGGGAGACATCGCCATCGATGATGTCACGCTGGAGGAAGGGGAATGTCGAGACCCACCGCCCAGTAAGTAGCACAGCATTCCCGCCTCCTCCATCCCCTCTCGTCTGTCCCTCTTATCTGAGCTCCGGGCTCTCGCTCTGACTCGTTGGACAAGGTTGAGATTTACGAGAGGGGATCTAATCTTAGACAGTTGCCAGCAATGAACCACCATCTCATTGGGAGAACACGGTTGCCACAGCAACAGTGTTGTAATCACATGAATGATAGCCACGCCAGCTGAGTGGAGCACTGTAATTGCGCTGCAGGAACAAACAGAAGGTAAAAACAGGAAACAGGACACAGAAAAGAGCCTGCAATTGACAAGGTGGTATTTGTAGCCAAATGCTCTTTGATTTAATTCATGTTATTTATGGCTGGAGTAACATTATTCCCAGAAGCTTCTCAAACTGAGGCATCCCTTTAACACAGCAGAGATGAATCAGGGTGATCTGTTTTCATTTTTCATGTCTTTCCTATTCATTTTATTACTGCAGGATTATTATTCGGCTTATATTTCATTTGGATCCATTATGATTCAAAGTGACAGCATTAATTCATTTGGAGGATAATGCAAAGAATTACGCATCTCTGTCTGACATGATGAATCTTGTGTGACTTTCTGTGATGTAAGAGGGAAAAATGAGAACTATCTCATGGAGGTGACTGATGAAGATTCAGAGTAGCTTTTTTAGGATCTGCTCACACAGGTTAGTTATGCTTTAAAGGAATGACTCAACGTTTTGGGGAATACATGCATTCATTCTGTTGCATAGAGTTAGTTGAGAAGATCGATACCACTCTCATGTCTGTCTGTAAATTATAAACTGGAGTCAGGAGACGATTAGCTTAGCTTAGCTTACAGACAGAAAGCAGAGGGAGATAGTTAGCCTTGATCTAAACTGTGGTAACAAAATGACCTACTCACACCTTAATGTCTTGTTTGTACATCATTTGTGGAGGGGGTTTAGGTGGGGGGGCTAATACAAACACTCAGCACTCTTCATTCATACCTAAACAACATCATAGGTCAACTTGCACTGACTACCAAAGCAACTTATGTGAGAGCAGGTCATCCACTAATGGAAGATCGATGGTTTGATCGGCAGCTCCTCCAATCCGTTCATATGTCAAAGTATCTTTGGGAAAGATACTGAGCCCCAGATTGCGTGTGAGTGGTTACTGAATAGCAGGAGGCACCATGTATGGTAGCCTTGGCCACCACTGTGTGAATGTGACTTGCAGTGTGAATAGTACTTTAAGTGGTCAGAATACTAGAAAGTTGCTATACAAGTGTCGTCCATTTACCATCGAACAGTCGCATTTTTAAACATGTTAACTTCATGAAATGGTCACAGTTCCGCTCCAAAAGGATCTGGTTAGGTTTCGCACAAACATCATGGTTCAGCAATAAATTAGCACTAGTACTATTAGTACTATGCTACAGTATGTTGTTATTAAAAGAAGTCAACCTTGACACCAGACTCTGGGGTGAAAGTCCTGTGCTTGATTGACCTATCCACCATCTATCCCGCTCACTATATAGGGGCGAATTTGATTTTTGTGCATCATTAAGCGGTGCAGCATCTGCAGTGAGGCAGGCGCTGTGCTGGACTGTTGTGGTGAAGAGGGAGCTGAGCCAGAAAGCTTTCTATTTACTGGTCCATCTACGTCCCAACCCTCACCTACGGTCATGAGCTCTGGGTAGTGACTGAAAGAATGAGGTCATGGATACAAGCGGCCGAAATGAGTTTCCTCCGTGGGGTGTCTGGGCTCAGCCTTGGATATGGGGTGAGGAGCTCGGACATCCGGAGGGAGCTCGGAGTGCTCCTTCGCATTAAAAGAGGTTAGTTGAGGTGGTGTGGGTATCTGATAAGGATCCTCCTGGGCGCTTCCCGCTGGATGATTTCTGGGCACGTCCCACTGGTAGGAGGCCCCGAAGCGAACCCAGAACATTCTGGAAGGATTACATAGCTTGTCTGGTCTGGGAGCACCTCAGGGTTAGGGTTTGGGTTAACCCCAGGAGTAGCTGGAAAGCATTGCTGGGGAATACTGGAATACTTTGCTCGGCCTGCTGCTCTGGCCACTCGGCTTTGGATAAGTGGTTAAAAATGGATGGATGGATGGATAGATACGTCACTTCCTCCTCTACTCCTGTAATAATTACTATGGCCACTGGTATGGGTCGTATAAGCTGCCTGCACAGTCGACCGGTTTGGTCATTTTTTCAGTGAGAGCAGGCAACCACCTTCCGCCACACCAAATTCTACTCTCAAATTTAGTCTCAGTTAATTTTTGAAATCCACATGAATCACTTTTCACATCGGCATCAATAACATCAACGAGCAAGCACTTAAAAAACCTTAAAAGAAAATACATCACTTCTGAAGCTGACGTGCTTGTTGTTTTTTCTTCTTTGAAAGCCAGTGGTGAAGAACACCAGGAGCAGATGCCAGGAGTTGAGTTTTCGTTAAACTAGAATTATGACTGGTGTGTTAACGACGTGCCAAATTAATCAGAGCACACAAGGCCAAATTGCCTTCTAGGTTACCATATGGCCAGCTGCTGACATGCAATGTAGCATTTAAAAGGCTATTTTTTAAAATGGAGTCTGGCGCAGTGCTCTCCACCCACAGAAGACGCACTGTGGCTACATTACATCACTTCCAGCGAACTTCACAGAGAACAGTGAGAGGAAAACAGCATCACCGATCTGTTTTAGCCAAATATTCTCTGTTGTAGCTCAGCAAAGAACACGAATTCTCCAAATCTATCAGCATGTTGTTCAACACAGCCCGTTTGTAACTGGTAGCTTACCAACGATGTTATGCTCACATGACCTGTTCAGCTGACTTCAGAGTTTAGATAACACTCTGCTGTCCTGCAGTTATTACAGACATAAACTGACCACAGACACATGCCTTGTTCATGGACTCATGATGGTGATATTAGCATTATTTTTGGTATTAAAAAGCGATTTTTATGACCTGTGCAATTCTAGGGGAAACACTGCAGTGGTATCAATCTTCTCAACTAACTCTTGGCAGGAAAGTGAGTAAGCATATTTCCCAAAATGGTGAACTATGCCATCAAAACACATTGCTCATTACATGTATGTGTTCTGTTGTGTCTGGTGTGTTTGTGTTTCCTTCTTTGGAGTATATAAAACCAACAGCTGTCATTATTTTCTGTTTCTTTTCCTCCTCCCTTTGTAGATCTCAGCTCCAAGGATCCACTCACCTCCTCCCATATATGGCTGCTATGCATCACCTTGGTGATGACCCTCCTGGAAGGTCAGAGGTGACCCTTCTCTCCGTCATCTCAGAGGCGAATATTCAGACCCACCGTCTGTGAACTATACCCTCGGCATCCAATCACCAAAGATTCATGCATCCTGAAAGCAGCAGGGGTCCCCTGACAGACCACTGACGGACCGGAATTAACGAAAGACAGAAAAAATCGTGATTAAAAAAGTTACACAAAAAGTAATAAAGAAGATGCGCTAATTTTTTAAAAAGAGACCTCTTTTACAGAAAACTCTCCTCGGTGCGGGACTCTGGACGTCTTTACGAGCACAAAGACAGGTGGGCGACGAACAAGCCTGGACTTTGGTGAAAGAGTTCACAAGCATCGAGGGAGGACAGTTTGTAAAGCACAAGAACAATTTTATGAAGTTATGAAAATATCTTTGGAAGGCGGCGGAACATAGACACTGCTGACTTTTTGAAGAGGAAATAACATTTTCCCTGCTTACAAACACATGGAATCAGACCTTTCTCTGTGTATCTTTATCTTCATTTTCTCGCACCAGATGCCAATCACCAACACTTTGTTTTTCACTCTAGCCCGGCCTCACGTCACACCTTGGCATTTCTTTATCTGCTTGGTGCTGTAGAAAAACAAGGACTCTGGCAACATTTAGTTCTGTCTGCTTACTCCCCTGTAGCTGCCTATGTATCTATTAACACTGTGCTCACGAGTCCAAGTGGCCAACCGACGGTATGGTGGCAGAACAATGAAAGCAGAAGAGGCAGCGGAGGTGTAGAGAGCTCGGACTGGAGGGCAGAGAGGAGGAGCTGGAGAGAGAGGGAGAACAGAGAGGAGGGATGAGGAGGAACAGGCAGAGAGTAGAGAAAGGTCCGATTAGTGAGGCCTGACTCGAATATCCAGTCGGCGGTCCGCCTGTGGAACAGAAGCCACTTTACTTTCTGCCATGAAACAAAGTGCCTTCAGATTACAAACCGAATCGTGAGCCTGGGTGTTAATCAACATCGAACACATCTCTGTTCATGTTTCCTCTGATGGGCTATTTTCTACATGTTTCTTTTGCCCCACAAGTGCTGATGGGAGGGCATGCGTGTTCAGAGGGGGTATGCGGTTGCGGTCCACCCGGATTTAACTCCTGATGGGACAGTTGCGTGTGTGCGAGTGTGTGTATGTGTGTGCGTTTGTGTGTGTGCATGCGCCTAATGCCTATGCCTGAGCGTAGTTCGGTGTGAGGGCAGCCGACCAGGCGGTGCTGGCAGACCAGGTTTGGAAACAATTTGGATAAAAACGGCGGCAACGGTGAAAGTGAGGCTCTGGATCGTGGTTTTTTTTTTTGTTTGTTTGTTTTTTCGCAGAAAGACGAGATGACGCAGAAGGATAAAGACACTTCGTCGAATGAATATCCCACTCTCTCTTCCCATAATTCTCCCTCCCTGCGGGCGAGCATTTTTTAAACAAAAGAACAACTGCTGAATAAAACATTGTACAGGGAGGAGAGTAGGAACTTTGGGACTGCAGGCTCGTCATGAGGGTGATACGCCTCGCCCCTATCCTCCACCATTTCTATGGAACAATATGAGAATAAAAGATAATAATGACCATAATAATAGTCATGATATTTTATTACTCTAGCGAGAATGTTTCTCTGCTTTTACACAAACTGTGAAGATTGACTGTGGAAGATCTACCTGAGACCATAACCTTAACCAGCGGGGTTTTTAAAAAATGTATTGTAAAAAAGAGAAAACAAGAAAATGAAAAATTCCGTTCATTGTTGGTTATGACAAATGTTTTGAGGACTTGTGTCTTGTTTCTTATTTTTTCCGTTGAAGATGACTTAACTTCCTTTCTCTTCTTGTTGTCTCCCTTTGCATTGCTTAAGTATCAAAGCTGATGGAAGCATAAGAAGTAAACCAATTTGGTAACTGTATAACTTGTAAATGTTAAAGAAGCTCTATTCAAAGGTTTATGATAAATGTTTTATGTTGGAGTACAGGAAGCACAACATACAGTTTAAGGTCTCGACATATAAAAATCCATTTTATATTTCTCTGCACATACGTGACCTACTCCCACAGGCTTTCCAACACAAGTCCACGTTTGACAGCAGACTGATCATTTTTTACTCGTTACATTCATATTTATAGCGCAACCAGAACACTGAAGGACACAAAGGGAACCCAGAGTATAAGTGAAGTCTTCATGGGTGCAGACTGGGTGCAGGTTCAGCTTGGTGTTGTGGTTGTTCAGCATATGTAGCCTCTTCTGTGGAAGCCTGGGTCGGTCCGAGTGGGTCATGTACATGTGTGTGCATAAAGCTGTGTACAATAGGTGTGATAAGAAACTGATACATGTAAAGAAGATAAATACGCTGAGCAAAACAGAGCAGAATGATGAGCATTTCAGGGCATCCTTATAATATCATTATGGTCTGTGTGATGTTATTGCAGAGACATAATCACAGCTATTATCTGCTTTCCATTTCTGTTTGTTTCCTTTCATTCCTGTGTTTTTATTTTACGTACGGCCCAGATCACAATGAATGTAAATGGAGTTCTGGGGGGAGTTCTTTTTTTACGGTCTTACTAGATGTAATGTTTTACTAAAACATATGTTTTTGTGTGCTTTTGATGATGAGAACTTTCAGACTTTCATAGGTTGTTTTGGACACGTCAAGAACATGAAGTTCATCTGACTTTGACACAATTTCCAAAAAATAAAAAATAACAAGCTCAGATTAAATATCCATTAGCTAGTAACTATATCCTGCTGCAGTATAGTGAGAAATGAAAAGTGCCAAAGTGCCCCTTGCAGTCGTCACTGTCACTGAGTATGGACATGAGTTCCTTAAGATATTTGGGTAACTGTTCCTTTTACGACCACCCCGAGCGCCTGGTCAGTTCCGATGTGATAATAGCTCCACCTTTAATGAATGATTCATAATTACAGCTGGATTTAAATGAAAGAACACCTTGGATATCACTCGGGTATTTAGGTCAAAATTGTAGTTTAGGGAAACAAGCGTATTCATTTTCTGAGATCCAGTTAGCTTAGCTTAGCACAAAGACTGAAAACAGGGGGAAACTGTTAGCCTGCCTCTGTCCGAAGATAACAAAAACCTGCCTATTATTTAACACCTGTCTTTTCGCTTGTTTAGTTCGTACAAAACCTGAAGTATAAAAATGGCAAATTTTGGACAAGAGACTTCAGGAGGCCCCTGCTGTCGGCTGAGACATGTGCTGCGTCTTAAATCAGATACTTCCATTAATAGGGGAGATCGGGGATGGTTGTAACATTTTGGACATTTCTGTCTGTATCTTGCAGCTCTTCTAAGCCAGTGAGTTCAAATGTGATGCAACCTAGTTACATGTGCCTGCTATTAAATGGTGTAGCTGTTACCTCTGTAACACAAACAGACAATGCATCCCTCATTCTAAAACACAGGAGTTAAATGTTACAGTTAGTTGTAATTTCATTCAACATTTACATGACTTTTAACATAGCCTGTCCCTGTTTGGAGGAATTGAAAGTGTTTTCAACCATTCCTGCCCCCCCCCCCCCCCCCCCCCCCCCCCCCCCCCCCCAATACTTATATGTACTTAGTTGTGTAGTGCGCAAATTTCACAGGGTAGTGTTGTTTCAAATCAAACATGGCCATTGCGCACTTACCAGAATTTCCAACCTCAATTATAGTTTCTTCCTCTCGGCGAATTGCAACCGAAGGTGCATAAGCATCAGAGATAACATACGCCCACAGATCAAATATCTTAAGCCACAACATTTGTAGTTTCAATGCCTGATGATATAATGTCCAACTGTTAGCTAGCTAGCAAGCTAACGTTAGTATTCATGTTATTGTTAGCAGTACTGAATTATTACACAGTTTATCCAATAAACAAACATCGTGCCTCTATCTGACAACAGTATAGTCCATTCATGAAAAATTCACAGGTATACCTTAGCTTAAATTTGTCCAATGCTTCAGTGTTCACGGTGGTAGAGTCCCTGGCCGCCATTTCAAAAGTTTGAATTGTGTTTGTGGTCCCATCCCTACTGCTAACTAGCCAAAATGGTGACCACTGAGAGCGTCCAATGTGCCAAACTCAACTTTATGACCTTTACAAGCGCACCATCTGGGTACTAATTAGGACTGCCACTAATGATTGTTTTCATTGTTGACTAATCTGTCAATTATTTCTTCGATTAGTCGACTAATCATTTCATCGAAAAAAGTGTTAAAATGTTGAAAAATGTCGGTCTGTCTCGCCCAAACCCCAAAATTATGTCATCTAATGTCTCGTTTCATACCTACGCCAAAGGGTTTTAGTTCACTGTCATGGGAGAGTGTGTAAAGCTGCCAATATCTGAACGTAAGAAGCTGCAGTAAGAGTATTTTGGGTACTTTTATAGTACTTTTCTATGAAAAATGACTCAAACCGATTAGTCGACTACTAAAATAGTCACCGATTATTTTAATAGTCGATAAGTCATCGATTAGTCGACTAATCGTGGCAGCCCCAGTACTAATAAGACACAGCATTTTGCCGTTCTTCTTAGTGTGAACGCGCTCAAACTAGCAAGTATAAGTACAGAAGTGTCCCATCTTTGTACATATCAAACAAACGAGATATACTGTACGTGCTCATAAGCAAACATCAGGGGATATTTTGTCATTTTCGGACAGCGCAAGACTGTTAGCTGTTTTTCTTGTTTTTTTTAGTCTTTATGCTAAGCTAAGCTAACTGGCTGCTGGCTGTAGGCCTGTATTTATGGTTCGGAAGTCGTTGGCTTTTCTGTCCAGGGATGGTTAAGGCATGACCTGCCCTATTCTGCCTCTAATTGCTTTACCCTCCCCAACCCAACCAATGAAGGCAACATGTACTAGCCAATCAGAAGGAGAGCAGGGCGGGTCATGCCTTCGTCATCCTAGGACAGAGGAAGGCAACCTGCAGCTCTGGAGCCATATACGACTCTTTAGCCCCTCTGCAGTGGCTCCATTTGGCTTTGAGAAAAAATTGTAAATTGTAAAAATGTGTAGCCTATGCACTGAATTAATAGAAAGAAAATAAAGTTTGAACATTTCGTCAACTAAAATGTCATGCGCCCTTGTCCTCTAAATTTACCAAACCTCGACCACGGTGGCTCATCTAGAGCCTCCCTAGCTAGGCTAACAATGGATTCCAAATTCATAAAAGTAAAAGTCTCTGAGGAAAACATAGAATTTAATAGTGCATGGATGGATTAGTTTGCTTTCTCCGCCAACGCTGCAATGTTAACGTGCCAAAAAAATCACAGATAGCCAACTGCAGAGGAGCCATCCTGTGTTAAAACATGTTTTTGAATGCTTATTTTGATTTATTTTAATGTTGTTGGCTAATTTGGACTTCATACGCAGTGTTACCATGACGTTTAGATATGTTTTGCAGCTCCAGGAGGATTGTTCTTAATTATATTAGGTGAAAAATGTTTCTTTAAGGTTTCTGACCCCTGTACAGATGGCAGTCGTATCAATCTTCTCACCTAACTCTCAGCAAAAAGCAAAAAGGCGTACTACCCCAAAAGTCAAACTATTGTTTTAAAATAACCTGAGTTTGAAAAATTTCTTCTTTACAGTATATATTCGCCTTATTGTGAAATTAGTTTGTGTATGTTGGAGTTATGTCAACATCGGCCTTTCAAAAACTACTGCAGACCTTTCATCCTACTTTTGTGGTGCATATTATTAAGTTCTGGGTACATTCACACGTATCTGCAAAACTTTCATCTGCACGAAGGAAATCTTCACAAAACCACGTCTGAAACTCGACAGCAAAAGGAATCATTGTTTGTTTCTGTGGTATTAAAGCTCTCACCATATCCTTTATTTCCATTTCTGTGCAATCCACACACCCTGTGTCAGCCTGTGCCCTTTGTGTACAGCAGAGATGTGAGTCTGGTGAGTAGCTTACACTCTCAGCTTGGCGCTATTTATTGATAAAAGTCCTCTAAGCTACTTCAAAGTACAATTGAAGGGGATTAACAGTTTTTTGAATATGTAAACAGTGTTGTGTTTACTGACTTTATTTTGATGATTAGAGGCTTCTGTAGTCATGGAAGGTGTGAAGTGCTCGTATAAACTAACGAGGGGAAATGGGTTGGAGGTATTTGTGGCTTGTGATTAGTTTGGGAGCCGAATGTGTCCATGCGTGCCAAGTGTTTCATCACTGTGCCTGGGCCCGAGATATTTGGTGTGTGTTGTTTTTCCCACCAGCGCGTACAGTATTAGATGTTTCTCACAGGAGCCACTTAAGTTTGACACTCGTGCAAGAGTTTGCAGTTGTGGTGATAGTGCCATGAATTTTAATAGAGGGTTACAGAAATAAAATGACTGTACCTTTTTTTTCCTCTCTTTTTTCTTTTTGGTAGACCGATCCAGGAATCTATTAAGTTCAGTACTGGAAAACTCTTTTACAATAACATCAAATTTAGAAGTCTCAGTTTACTTATGGGGTGTATATACTACAGGCACTGCGACTAATACAGCTGTCTGGTATTACATACTGCACTCTGGCACCTCTTTCGTTCATGCTTCACAGTTACTGGTTTAATCACCAGCTGACTAGTAACATCTAGTCACATTCATGCAGGTGTACAATGATTTGCTTATGCCAGTATTTGCTGCGACAGCTCCCTCTACCAACCAGACCTCCGTCTTATGTGCTTTATTCACGCTGTTATTAATCTTACAGAGTTTTAATGTTCATGTTTGTGTTTATTAAGGTTGAGATTCTCCCAGTAGAGTCCTTGTTGCTGCTTGGATTCTTTTAGAGCTCCCTCAAACAGCAGAGCCTTTTTCACCAAATCATTAATTCCATAATTTTAGCCTAGTTTTTTTTTTAGGTTCGTTTAGTTTATTTGCACATACATGTAAAAAAGACAAGAAGACAAGAAAAAAGAAATTAGAGGTTTAAACATTGTGCAGGAGAGGTTAGAAGCAGAAAATGGCTCATTAAGATACCTCCCCTAGTAAATAGCAACAAATATACATAAAAAGAACGATAAAAGCAATAGGATAGGCAGAAATCTGGAAAAGCACCTGCTGCTCTCACTTCTCTGACCGAAGCCCCTCCCACCAATCAGAAACAGGCATCCACACGCGCTTCATACAGTTACCCAATGTTCCAATACTTGAACAACTACCCGCAGCGCAGCCTTTGCGTGCTGTCTTGCCCCGCTCTCTCATTCTCCATTTATTAGACCACAAATCAGACAACAATTAGCTAGCCGCACACCCCACCGCTGTGGACTGCCTCCCCAGGAGGAGAGCAGGCAGCAGCTTGTGTAATGGACCTTTGGTTGGCAGTTGTCGAGCTAGAAGTTGGCCAGTGTGGGCTGGTGGCCAACAGCAGCAGAGGGTCTAACCTGTGTAGAGGCAGCAACAGAAAGTTTGATTTGGCAAGGGGGCGGGGTCGTCCACTGGCCTCGAGTTGTGGTTAGCGCTTGCTGGATTCGGGTTGCTACAGCTGCCGACTGGGGGTCCATCCTCCAAAGCTGCTGCCCGCTCTCGTCCTGGTGAGGTGGTCTGTAGCGGCGAGGGTTGAGGCAGAGGATACTTTGATTAAACGCTCTAGCTAACGTTAGCTACATAAATGTGAACTTGAAGCCACAGCCGTGAGCCTTTGGTTTCGGTTAGCAGGAGGCTATACTATCAGCAACATTGTCTGTCTATCTCTGAAACACTTTGCAGATACTGACGTGTTTTTGTTTTTTTTCCCATTTATTGTCAGACTCTCATTTTGATAAGTCCATCTCCGTTTTTCTTGATTGCTTTGCAGTGTCGGCAGTTGTTGCCAACACTGGAATAGCAACTTGCTCTGCAGGATTCATCGCCACTGAATCAGACTTTCACCATCTGAAGAGACGTTCAGGGGCATCTGCATTTATAGAACAGGTCTGAAATGACTGGTCAAAATCTGGTCAAAATCTCCCATGACAGGCTAGATTTTATTGAGCCTGAAAACAGAACCACAGGTGCAGGTGTCTAGTTTACTCTCAGACCACTTAAATTCCAGTATGCTCAAGGGTTATTATGGGATTTATACCCTGTAAAGCTGAAATTAAACTGCCTACCCCAGCTTTAAGTGTCAGGTTAAAACCATTAGACTGAAAATGCACCGTAGAATCACATAAAAACTAAAGTACTGAACCTTGTAGTTTCAGCAAATACTAAACATTATAAATGAGGTGTTTGGGTCAGTTGTATTGCATTGCATTACATCGTCCTGGTCACACTAGAAATTGCCTTTTTCTGTGTAACACTGCTGCAAACAAACAGCAAGTCAATCGTTATTGCATGGGGAAAGGCAAGAGCCATTTGGTAGGTGGGAGGAGAGAAGCAGTACAGTTTACAGAGACAGAAATAGTGTTTTCCTTTTAAAATGCAGTTTCACCGTCTTCGCTGAGAAAATGACACGTCTGACTCGCTGCCTTTGTGTAACATGAAAGGTACATGTTGGTCTTAATTGAACTGAGGTGGAAATAACCTATCGTCTGATAATGTAAGGACCAAGGAAA